ACCATCAATGCTGCATGCGGAAGGAAGAAAGTGAATTGTGATGCCCAAGTGAATCTTCTATGTCAGATTGGTTCAGGCATAACACCAAGTGATTTATTTGTTTTTGATTTAACCTGGTGGGTGACTTCATCCTTTTAGGCTTATCTGGATGAGCTACAGTGCAATACTGTAGATGGATTCAACACTGTTGTTTTCATTGGGTAGTGCCCTGGGTGTGATACCAAGTTTGCAGGCTCAGTGGGTTTTTTTCCTGTGTTCAGGGGAAAGGTGATTCAGTGGGTACTATAAATGTTTAACCCTTCCTATGTCTAATAGAAACAAATAAAAGCAATCATGATCTCCTTAAAATGTATTATTTTATTTTTTTTGCAGATTGCTAAATTTAGTTTGGATTGTCTGGAAATGAATGGGTTTACTTGGGAAGTTAAAAAAATTAATTAGTATATTATAAAAACCATATTGTTGTTGGTGGTGATGTTGCATGTTTGAGCAAAAACATAAGAAAGGCTTGCTGGACCGGATTAAAATCAGTTAAGAGCAGTGCTTTTGGGAAGGAGAGGATGGGAGTTGTTGATACCCAATCTTCTATTTGCTTAATCCTCTGTAAAGTTGTCCAAGTTGGTGGCTGCTACTATATCTTGTCATAGCAAATGTGATGGCTTGAGAATATTAGATATAATGAAGTATTTCTTTTTATCTCCATGTTTGGAAACAGATTAAAACCAGAATGATGCCCACAAATGGGCATACTTTTCAACATGCAAAATCTGTATCCAATAAATATGATCTTTCTAATATTTTCTGGAAAGCCTTTTACTGCCTTTCCCCCCTCTGACTCTTCTGCTAGTTTTCCATTCAAAGGGCTGATAATCTCTCCTTCTGCTTATCTTTAATCTCAATGCAACATCAGATGCTTTTAAACTATTTATTAATTTGTACTGTTTACTCCATATGGACTGTTCATTATGGGAATAGTTCTCTGCCTAATTTGATGAACAATTTTAAACAGCTTGTCTACATGAAGAACAATAAAGTACATTTTCTATCTGAAAAACATTTGTCTTGGAGTGGATAAATATTCCAGTATGAAATAATCATAAAATCTATTTCAGCTCTTCAAATACTACTTTTCCCTCAAAGTCTATTTAAGAGAAACCCAAAAAGCACCATTCTATAACAATGTATTAATAATGACATATGGGAAATGGAACTAATGAAGTAGGTCACAGAATAATTAAGTGTTACGGAAGATGAGAAATAAGGGAATCATGAACTTTTCTAACAGATGACGCCAATAATTGAAAGATATCATCAATTATTTCAATGGACAAGTAGCCACAAGTAACTACTATAGAACGTGCTTCTTGGCTGCCTCCAGCCTTTTCATGGTTTTAGTATTTATAGAAGTTCAGATGAAATTGCAAACTCTTTCAAGGTTTATATTTTCACTTTGGATTCAAAGAGATGAATGAGATATTCAGATCCAGGCAAATGTTGTAGAAACATGAAGTCTGTCATGTAGTTCTTACTGTAAGTAACAAGAGAAGGAGAACTTTTGGAGAAGGACCATTTATAGAAGGATAAATGAGGATGGTTTCTTGTTCCCAATGATGGCTTTTTTCATCAATGTCTCTGTCCAGTACTTTTCCTGGAGATACAGCAAATACTTGCTTGAGGAACCCAAGTAAGGAGTGAATACTAAAGGGGAAGGTGTAAAGTAGGAAAAATGGGGTCATGCTTTTTTGGCTACTTGTCAATTGTCCCATTCATTGACATTTTCTTATTGCTTAACAGCCTATGGAATTTCCAGGCCCTTGAAAAAAGAACCATTAACTAACTGCAGTTTATTCTAAAAAGAAATTTTTAAAAAACCATGGAAAAATCTCTAAATTAGAAAGCTGATTTGAAATAATATGAAAGACATTTCAAATAAAATATATTTCACAGACACTGGTAATTCAGTGTATAGTCAGCATTACCTCTTGTCTTTCTTTAGGTAAGATGCTTGCTTTTCCTGAAACTCTTCCGTTATAGTCAATAGAGATATTCAATATGCATTGAAAGTGTATTACATAGTGCAGTTTAAAGTGGTAGACGGAGCATTGATGACAATTTGGGATTTTACAGAACTTCTGCCTGATTCTGGAGAATAAAAACATTTGCAACTGCCTCTTGGATTGAATGGAAATCCCATAAGGGATTGTTCATTAGTTACAGTTAGAAACATTATATGCTTGACCTTTTTCAGTCGAGACATTTACAATTATAGCTACTGAAATATCTAAATTCATATCCCAAACATCCATATCCATATCCGAACCCAAATTTGTAATAGTAAACTAGAAGTTTGCTAGAGTTTGTAAGTGGGGATTGGAAGAGTCTTGCTGTTGTGTTTATAAGTATGGCTTCGAAAGACCATATGCTCACTCAATTGAGTCCAAATGACTTTAGGCAGTTCTTGCCTACAATATAATACATAAAGTGGACATTTCTATATAGCAAAGCCTTATTAAATACTGTATAGATTTGTGATATACCTTAACAAATAAACAATAGGACCTTTGTGCAAATGGTATCTTGAAAACTTGACAATATTTTAAATATTGATTGCATACAAAGAGGATAATTATTTTATCTACATTTAGTGGGAATACCATTTCATAGCCTCTATTTGGGAACCTGGTCAGTTGCTCTAGCCCAGTGATGGCTAACTTTTTTGTCGTCATGTGCCGAAAGCATGTCTATGAATGCGCAAATAAATGCAATGCGGCCCCCCTCATGCATGCACACATGACCCCCTCTCTCCCCGCGCATGTGCGTGCAACTCCCATCCCAAAAATTAGCTGGCTGCCGGGAGGCATGCATGCATGGTGGAGCTGAGCTGGGCGACGGCTCGTGTGCCCGCAGAGAGGGCTCTGCCATCACGGCTCTAGCCCATCATTATCTTCTGCTATTTCTAAGCAGATATCAAATACTCCTTGGATTATTTAAAACTGCAGGAGAAGCTCTTCAACTTCTGGCAGTTCATTTTCAACAAATATGGAGCAAGACTCTGTAGTCTAGAGATCAAAAAAGACTGCTTTACACATATAAGTATATTAAAAAGGTAAATGCAAATAAGTGCTCAGTGGCACTAATACCTTGTGTAAACTAAATTCTGCTTAAGTTTGCTAAGAAAATGAACAGAGCCATATTTGAAAGTAGGAATATCGGGTGACTAGTCAGTTTTCAGGAAAGTTAGAGGGACATGACATCAGGTAGCTAACACAAGATAGATAATGGAAAATAGCAAAGGAATGCAAAAAGATAGGTTTACCTTTGTTTTGTTGATTACAGCAACATTTTTGACTGGGTAGATTTTGCCAAAACTCAGAACATATTAAGGCCTAATAGGTGTACTAGAACACGTGATTACTCTTTGAATAGATTAACATCTTTTCAGTAAACAGAAATATTGTTTGAATCCAAACTGACTTACACAAGGACAACAATTACTGAAGTACTATTGAGATTGGTGAACATGGTTAGAACATATGGAAATAACCAAATTCAAACTTCTCCTCAGCCTTGGAAAATTCTCTCATATATCTTCCTTCCTCCCTCCCTCTTAATCTAATTCCCGCCTTTCAGCAGCATGATTTACATTAATCTAAACTGAAATAAAAGTTGAATAACCTATTTTCAGGTGGTTGAACAAAGAAAATTAACATGAAATAGAAGAATAGGCTATTCACTAAATTGTAAAGAATAGGATTATCAAGCCAAAACTAAAAATTTAAATCCTGCTGATTTTAACAATAGGTTAACATTTATTTAAATCTCTTTTGAAATCAACTCCTCTATCTACCCAGCTCTCTGTGTTAGTTAAATATCATTAAGTCAGATTTAATCCTTTGTGACACTATGAGCAGTGCTTGCCATCTTGAACTTCTTTAATAATAACTCATAGTTCTTCCACATTACTGTAATGTCTTTCATCCCCTCCATCTAGATTATCTATTGTCTTTTTCTTCTACTTCCTTTACCTTGCCAATTTTAGTTATTTTCCCTAGCCCACTGCTTATTAACATAACTTGTCCAAATTATGTCATGTTTCTCGTAGTGATCAGCATCTCAAAGCCAGTCAGACTTTTTGTAGTCTAGGCAGGACTGATTCATTTATTCTCATGACAGTGGGTACAGCAGTCATGCCTGGGAGTGAGACTGCCTTGCTCCAATGGGACCGAGTCTGCTGAAAAGTTCTTAAGTCCCACCTCTTCCTGTGTAGTCCGGTCTTCTCTGGGACAGTCGTGTCTGTAGTTTCTCTTCTATAATTAGAGTATTTACTCTGCTTTTTAATTTAATTTAATTTAATTTTAATTTCTGTTATTTCTGAATTGCCTATTGCTAGAGCGAGAAAGGGCTTTTTGCCAGAAACCGCTCTGAGCCGCTTGAGCGGCTTTTGTCTGCCGGCTGGCAGACCCATAGGCATTTTCCGCCCACGAGCTTGCTCCGCGGCATTCTGAGCCCTTAATATTTGTTTGGAGGAGTTTGGAGGCATTTGGAGCCGTTTTTGGAGCGTTTTGAAGGGCTGTGAGCTGATTAAGGGCTTTGGCTCTACAGTTGTTTGGCGCGAAGGTTTTTACTGCGCCTGTGATTGTCGCGCCAAGCCGGACGGCTAGAGAACGCAGCGTTTCTCAAGGAGCATTATAACTGCAAGTATTTGGGATTTTTCAATCCCCTGGAGCCTGTGATTGCTTATTTTGTGGCTGTTTGTGCCAATTTGTGCTGTAGGAGGCTTCTGTACTTTTAAGAATACCTGGAAAGTGAAACTAGTAAATTCAAAATGGCCGACGCTATTCCTTCTAAGGCTTCTCGCAAGTCATCAAAAAGAAAGCAGCAGATGGGCCTGATCCAGGGAAGGGCTGTTCTTCCCACACACACCCTGCTGCTAAAGTAGCTCACTCATCTGTTTCTAAAGGATCTAAATCCTCTAAAGATGAGGAAAGCGCCATAGAGCCATGGAAAGGGCTTCTAAAAAGGCTCAAGCTGATAAGAACAAAGCCCTAGGCCCTCCCCAGGCCCCCCCTCTTTCTGTAATGGCTCCTCCCACAGAAATTCAAGCTGCTAGATCTCAGCCTTCTCATACTCCTTCTCTATCTCCAGATAGATCATTGCAAGGTGATACAAATTTGGCAGATGCTTCCACTGTTTTTCTAGTATCCACAGCAGAATCCAGCATTATTCAAGCTGAAACTCAGGATGTTGCTCTGACTGCTCTTGTTCAGTCAGGCTCTGAAATTGGTGTGTGTGTGTGTGTGATCATTCTACTTCTGCCCAAGATATTCCAGAAATTTCTCCTGCTTTAGCCTCCCTCATTTCTATGGCCATCCGCCAAGGCATCGCTGAAGGTCTTCATCAGCGGGCTCCTTCTGAGGCTTCAGAGATGCAGAGTCATCAGAGCCATTCTCATAGGCATCAGGAATCCAGAGATACTGTAATTCATCAGGAATCTCATGACTCTCCTCAATCTAAAAGTCAGGATTCTCTATCTGAGGGTGAGATCATTTCAGATCAAGATCTTTCTGAGGATGAAGGCTTAGAACCAGATCAGCCTGCCTTTGTGGACCTATTCAATTCTCAGATGTTTAGATCATTGTTATTCAAAGCTCAAATCACTACACGTATGCGTCTTCCCAGTTCCAGCTCTGGTTCGTCTTCTTTGTCCTCTGATCCAACAACATCTGTGTTTCTGGAACCCACTGTTCGTACTGAAGTTGTTCCTGCTCCCAAACTATTTTCAGACGTAGTTCAAAGACAATGGAATTTCCCAAGTACTGGTCCTCTTCCTAATTCTCTGGACAAACGTTTCTATAACTTGGCAACTGACTTTTCCAATATATTACAGGTTCCTTCTGTCGATTCTCCTGTAGTAGCTTTGTCTTCATCGTCTCCAGTTTCAGGCCCAGCTGAAGAGGTGTTGCGCCTGGAGGACAAAAGAGCGGAGCGAAATCTCATTAAAGGACATCAGGCTTCCTCATGGTCTGTACAAGCTTCTTTTGTGACCTCTTTTTTCAACCGCGCTACCATCCTATGGCTGAAACAGCTTCAAGAGAGAATTCCAGCCACTGATCATAGGTCTCACCAGGACTTAAACCAAATTTTGGTAGTGGTGGAATTCTCTGCAGATGCCACTCTTAATGCAGCTTGTTTCTCTGCTAAAGCTATAGGTTCTTCAGTTACATCTAGGTGTCTCCTCTGGCTCAAAAATTGGCAAGCAGATCAAAGAGCCAAATGGCGCCTAGCTTCTTCTCTTTTTCAGGGTGACAAGTTGTTTGGGGCTCCTCTAGAACCCCTCCTAGTGGAGACTAAGGATCATCGTAAGATTTTACCATCTATTTCTAGAAGATCGGAGATCCGCCCACAGACTTCCTTTCATTCGGGATCCTTTTGGGCCCACGACTCCAGTTTCTACCAGCAATGTCCCCATCGGCCATTTCATCCAAGAGGATCTCACCAACAGGAATCTCAGGTCAGACAGGGGTACAGGTTCTCCTCCAAGAGACCTTTCAGAGACTCCAGAGGCCGGTCCTTTCGCCGAGCCCGTTAATTCTCCTCCTGATTCTAGGATTGGGGGCAGATTATCCTTTTTCACTGACATATGGGATAATATGGTTTCAGATTCTTGGGTTAAAGAAACTATTCGATGCGGCCTAGCTCTTGAGTTCCGCTCCAGTCCCCCCAATTGTTTTCTGCGCTGTCCTTTGTCCTTGGATAGAAACAAACGTGCTCGTGTTGAGGCAGCCATTGAACACCTTTTGCTGATACAGGCCATCCAGCCCGTACCCTTTTCCCAACAAGGTCAGGGATTCTATTCCCGTTTATTCCTAGTGCAGAAACCTTCGGGGGATTGGAGGGCTATTCTTGATTTAAAATCTTTGAACCTGTACATAATCTACCGCCGGTTCAAGATGCAATCTCTCCACACTATTCTTTTAGCTATTAGAGAGGGAGATTTTATGTCCTCTATTGATTTAACGGAAGCCTACTTACACATTCCTATTCTCCCTGCTCATCGTAGATTCCTCAGGTTCTGTTACAATGGTAATCATTATCAGTACAAAGCTCTTTCATTTGGTTTATCTTCAGCGCCTAGGGCGTTTACTAAAATTATGGCGGCCCTTATTTCTCACATTTCCTCCTATCCGGTCAGGATTCTTTTTTACTTGGATGATATACTCATCCTTTCCCGATCTGAGCTTCAGGCTCGTCGGGACATGGCCACATCTCTTGATATCTTAAGGACCCAGGGGTTTTCCATTAACTGAAAAAAGAGTCATTTGAATCCATCTACCCGTCTTCAGCACCTAGGATCTGTAATAGATACAGTGTCAGCTAAGGTTTTCCTATCCCAGGATCAACAGGATAGTCTTTGTGAAATGGCCCGTAGGTTTCTTCAGTCCAGGTCAGCTTCCCTACTGAGCTTGTCTAGCCTGCTAGGCAAGATGGTGTCTTGTTATGGTATAGTACCATGGTCTCGTCTTCACAGCAGGGAGTTGCAGTGGTTTCTCCTACCCTTCCAGCGAGGTTTCTCCTACCCTTCCAGCGAAACCTCAACAGTCCCTCAAACCTCCTACTTCATCTGACGAGCAACGCCATCGACTCTCTCAAGTGGTGGACATCGGAGAATGTCTCCAAGGGCAGCTCGTTCCTGGAACCTCAACGGTTAGTCATAACAATGGATGCCAGCCTGGTAGGTTGGGGTTCTCATCTGGGGAGACACATGATTCAGGGCAGGTGGGCCCCACAGGAATGCGATCTCAACATAAATCTCCTAGAGCTCAGGGCGATCTTCCTAGCCCTTCAGGGGTTCAGGACCCAGGTCCAGGGCAGGGATGTCCTCATCCTTACAGACAACATCATTGCCAAAGCTCACTTAAACAGACAAGGAGGGATCCGTTCCTGAGCTTTTCTTCAGGAGTCTCTTCAGCTGGGGCTCTGGGCCGAGTCCCACCTAATGTCTCTCCGCGCAGAACACATTTTGGGGGTGTCCAATGTTCAAATGGATTCCCTCAGCTGCACTACAATCGACCCAGCAGAGTGGAGCCTACATCCTCGTCTGTTCCAGGAGCTTTCCAAACGGTTCGGCCATCCTCAAGTGGATCTGTTTGCCTCAGCAGTCAACCATCAACTACCCTGTTCCTTTTCCCGTTTCCCCGCCCAGGGAGCAGAAACTGTCGACGCCTTACGCAACCCGTGGCCAAAGGGAATCCTTCTCTACGCCTTTCCTCCCTTTTCTCTTGTAGCCAGGGTGATCCGGAAACTGATCAGAGAGAGGGCGGAACTGGTACTGGTGGCCCCTCATTGGCCTTGTCATCCGTGGTTCGCGGACCGAGTGTCCCTATCGGTGGCCCCGCCCTGGAGGATTCCAGACAGTCAGGTATCGCTCCTACAAGATGGCTAGATCATCCAGATCCACAGTCCTTCCAGCTAGCCGTTTGGAGATTGAGCGGTTCCTCTTGACGGAGGTTCAGGTTCCACCAGATATCATCGCATGGATCTACCACTCACATCTACGATGCCACATGGTCTGCTTTCTCCAGATGGTGTAGACGGTGCAGTATCGTTCCCACTTCACCATCGGTTGTTCAAGTCCTTGGTTTCCTGCAAGAAGGTTTCTCTTCAGGTCTCTCTCCGAATATTCTACGGTGCCAGGTATCGGCTATTTCATCTATTCTGTCTTACTCGTCAGCTGTCTCTCTGTCTAAAGACCCTTTGATTCACAGTTTTTTACGTGGAGCTACAAACCTCAGACCTCCAGTCATACACACGTTCTCTATTTGGGACCTTACCAAGGTATTGTCAGCACTCACAAGACACCCCTTTGAGCCTCTTCGGGAGGTGGACCTCAAATTCTTGTCATTCAAGGTCTCTTTTCTGGTAGCCATAACTTCAGCCCGCAGGATTTCTGAGTTGGCGGCCCTGTCGGTTCGATAAGACCTGTGCATTTTTCATGCGGACAAGGTGGTCCTGCGTTTGGATCCAGCGTTTTTCCCAAGATCAATTCTGTTTTTCACAGATCGCAAGAACTTGTTCTTCCCAATTTCTGCCCTTCTCCTCGACACCAACTAGAACGGACATGGCACACACTAGACGTTCACAGAGCCCTTAAGATCTACATTGCCCGCATATCTTCTTTCTGTCGTATGGAAGTTCTGTTTGTCGCCTTCCAGCCTTCTTCCATGGGCGCCAAGCTGTCTTCTTCGGCCATTGGCCGGTGGATCAGGGCTACCATAGCTACCGCTTATTCAGTCCAAGCCTTGCCGGTTCCCCGGAATATTACAGCACACTCCACAAGGAGCGCGGCCACATCAGTGGCCTGGTCCACCAGGGCTCCCCTGGAGGAAGTTTGCAGGGCGGCCACCTGGTCCTCTCCTACTCCGTTCATCTGGCATTACAGGTTGGATACCTACGCCTTGGCTGATGCGGTGTTTGGAAGGAGAGTGTTGCAAGGAATTCATCTGGAGACTGCTGCCCGGGTCCGGCAGGATCCCACCCTATAGGACATTGGCTTTGGCATGTCCCAGGCATGACTGCCGTGCCCACCGTCATGAGAATGGGCGTTGGTCTTACCTGATACGCCCTTTCTGTGATAGGTGGGCACAGCAGTCAGACCCTCCCTGTTGGGCCGTTCCCGGACGTGGGGGTGGGTGGCAATCTCATGTATGTTCTAATTTTCCAGACATGACAGTCTGCTGATCTACCTCGTCTCAGAACTGGACTACACAGGAAGAGGTGGGACTTAAGAACTTTTCAGCAGACTCGGTCCCATTGGAGCAAGGCAGTGTCACTCCCAGGCATGACTGCCATGCCCACCTATCACAGAAAGGGCGTATCAGGTAAGACCAACGCCCATTCTTCTTGCAGTTCATGGTACTCTTAGTAAACATCTTTAAAAACACAAATGGAAAGCATCTACCTTTCTTACCTTGTCAAGTCACAGCTGTAGATAATAACTATTTTAGCTGTTTACATCGGTTGTCATCCCTTCCAATCTTCCCAGTCTTAAAATATATTAATTTTGTAAGTTAAATGAATGTAAGAAAGATATACATCACCATCCTAAAACATCACACCGGCCCCCATATGATCACCCAGTATTTAGGATGCTTGACAACCTGTTTGCACTTCTGACCAATTGCCAAGTACCTTGTAATCATGCAGTCGGCATTTGCAATCTTCTCTGCTAGCTTCTCCAGAAAGTCAATGGGAAGACCAGAAGGAAGATTGCAAGCTGCTGCCACTTGCTGAGAGGACATACTCTCAGGGGGCTGCCTGCTGAATGGAGCTCAGCCCCTCCAGAGAGCTGCAGAAACTGGCCTTGGATCCAAAAGATTCCATTTCTGCAGCCCAGCAGAGGCATTTTCTTCTGCACACAGAAGAGTACTGGAAAGCTAGTAAACACCGTTGTTCTGAAGGCTCAAAAGATTAGCGTTCATTAATTTTCTAGCCCTTTTTCCAGCAAATGCCCCTGTTCTAAAGGCTAGAAAGGTTTGTAACCTTAGGAATGATGATGTTTTCTAGCTTTCTAACCATCTGAAAAGGTAGAAGAACATGGTCCAGAATGCGGCCGCGTGGGTGGTTATGGGCGCAACCCCGTTGTGTCCACGTGACATCCCTGCGCGAGCTGCACTGGCTCCCAGTGGTCTTCCGGGTGCGATTCAAGGTGTTGGTTACCACCTTTAAAGAGCTCCATGGCATAGGACCCGGGTACCTTCGAGACCGACTTCTGCCATCAATAGCCTCCCACCGGCCAGTCCGCTCACACAGAGAGGGTCTCCTCAGGGTGCCATCAGCCAAGTTATGTCGGCTGGCGACACCCAGGGGGAGGGCCTTCTCTGTGGGAGCCCCTGCCCTGTGGAATGAACTGCCCCCGGAAATGTGTAAGATCTCCAACCTCAGTGTATTTCGCTGTGCCCTCAAGACCCTGTTGTTCCGCCAGGCCGGGCTATCAATGTAATGATTTTTAAATTGGGTGTTTTAAATTTTTGGGGTTTTAAATTTGAGCTGAAATTATTTAATAATTTTAATTATTTTAACTGATGTCTGTATTTGTGCTTTTAATAGGCTGTACACCGCCCTGAGTCCTTCAGGAGAAGGGCGGTATAGAAATAAAATTATTCATTTATTTATTATTTATTTTAAAATTATGGTTGTCTTGATCCTTCATTCTTTTTGCTCTTTCATGTTCCTTAAATTCTATCTGATCTTAATTTCTTTGTTTTAGCCTCCAGTCTGATCTACCACTTTGGGATTGAATATAATTTTGTTTTGGTTTATTAATTTCAATACCCAATTGTCCTTGTAATCACTATTGTTGCATTTTATTTTAATTTAATATAAGTATGCAAACAAATAAATAAACAATATCTCTTTATTATTTTTACAAATAACTCAAGGCAATGAACCAACACATCTTTCTCCTGTGAGGTGTCCTTTCTCCTGTGAGTCCTGTGAGGTGTGTTGGGCAGAGACAGAGTGACTGGCTCAAGATCACTCAGCTGGCATTCATGGCTAAGGTGGGACTTGAACTCACAGTCTCCAGTTAAAGCATAATGCTTTAACTACCAGACCAAATGGACTTTTATTGTAGGCAAATTGCTTGGTCTTTTTGATAAATACTATTTTAATCCTTGCAAGGACCTCATTGATATCCTTCATTATAAATGCCAGCTCTTTTTGGGGCACTATTTTCAGTGCTGGCAGTTTTTGTCTTTCTATGGATCATTCTGCATATGTCATAATTTTTTCTTTCCACTCCCTTTTTGTACGGAGAATCCATTCATAGATTGTTTCAGGACTGGCCTGTACTGGCTATGTTGTTATTACTACTTCTAAGTTATCATTTCTAAACTTCATATTAGCTTTTTGTTTATATGTTATTATAATAACAATTGTGTTATCTGAATTTCTTCTACTATTCTACTATTGTTTTGAGAACTTCCATTTTCTGAATCTTTTCCAGTTCTGCATTCCTGAATATTTTATTTCTGGTAATGAATCTCCTTTGGTTTGCTAATCGTTCAGTGATATTTGAGTCTGGATAATTTTTTTTCCAATGTTCAAGCATTTGCTTTAAGTATTCCCATTTTGTTGGTTCCAATTTATAATAACAGGCCATAATGGCATGATTTTCAAACACTTTATGCTTTTGTTATGTCTGTGCTTGTTGTTCTTCCATTAATCCTACAATCCCAGCCATAGCTCCTGAGTCCCATTGCCTACTTGTCAACAATTGCCCAGGAACTCTAACATCTGACATGATTTTAATTGACCGGTGTGATGACCGATCTGGTATAAAATTCTTTTTCTGTTTGCTCACTGTATTAAATGAGTTGATGTATTCATTTAGTCTGACTCTTCCACTAAGACCTGTCTGGCACGAGTAACCCTTCTGGTAGAATATACCATTGCTAACATAGCTCTCAACCTCATCAGAGCATCAGAAGCCTCTCCCCCAAAACATGGGGTTATCCCTGAAATGGAATAGATTTTATTATATGTGGATAATCTACAGTTAGATTCACTGTCTAAAACTGGTGGAAATTTTATACTTCAAGTCCTAACTGAGAATCTAAGAATTATTAATGTAACATCCACGAATATAGACACTTCCAAGCAAGGTACCTTTTTTTGTAAAATTAGGATTTTCAGGTGTATATCATTATTAATTGCTTACTTTTAGCCATATAAATGAATGGCATCATTTGTATAATGAAAGAAAACATGGGAATTCAAGTTGCACACATTGGGTAGTTTGCAGCCTTACTCATATTTAAACTAGAGTGATGATTATGTTTCCTTGATTCTGATGGGTCTCTACTACTACTTTTTTTCCCTATCCCACCACACTACTTTGCTTTCTGAAACTTCAGTAGTGTATTTCAGTAGGATACTACATATGGA